TTCTCATCACACGATGTGCTGTGGAGAGATCACTTAAAGTCACCTATTGTTAAATAGAGTTTGAGTAGTACATAAAGGGCACTTGGAGCTAGTATAAATAAAACATTTTTTGGGGGGGGGCAGTATTTTTGGAAAATGCTGATTTGTGGAAACTGAATTTTTGGTGGAAACATATCGCTCTCAATTAAACTTTTGTTGGGAACATTCCTCAGCATTGAATTTCTGGTCAAAACCAGAGAGAGCGCCACCCCTCCAAATAGATTCATAGACTTAAGGCTAGAAGGGACCATCATGATCATCTAGTCTGACCTCCTGCATGTTGCAGACCACAAAACTCCCCCACCCATTCCAGTAATGGGCCCATAATCTCTGTCTGAGTTATTGAAGTCCTCAAATCATGATTTAAAGCAGGGGTGGGGAACCTACAGCCCACAGGCAGGATCCGGCCCCTTGCACATTTTCATCTGGCCCGTGGGCCACACACATTCAACTCACCTGCCGGGTGGGAGGGGGGAGCGGAGACTCAGGGCTTCCCCCTGCAGCAGGGCGAGATGGTGCCTGTGGGGCTGGAGCGGTGAGCACTGGCTCGCTCTGCCATGGGTGGGAAGCCCTGAGCCACCGTGCCCCGCCAGGCAGGTAAGTTGAACATGTGTGGCCTGCCATTGATGATTTTTTTGTTGTTGTTGGGTCAATGTCCCCTGATACAAGAGGTTCCCCACCTTTGATTTAAATACTTCCAGTTACACACAATCTGCTATCTACTCTAGTTCAAACCAGCAAGTGACCTGTGTCCCATGCTGCAGAGGAAGGCAAAAAACCCCAAGGTCTCTGCCAATCTGATCTGGGTGAATATTCTTTCCTGACCTCAAATATGGTGATCAGTTACACCCAGAATTCTCTGTAGTGACTGACAGCCCTCCCCTTCTAGTGTCCCATCACCAGCCATTGGGGATATTTGCTACTAGCAGTCACAGATCTGCCTAAACGTATTGATTGCCTGTTTTATCTATTGGCTTTGTGCCAACATTGTCCCTTAATTTACATAACTATTCTCCCTCCCGGACTTTTTATCTCTGAGGTATTTATAGAGAGCAATCATATCTCCCCTCATTCTTCATTTTGTTAGGCTAAATAAGCCAAGCTCTTTAAGTCTCCTCTCATAAGGTAACAGGTTTCAGAGTGGTAGCCATGTTAGTCTGTTATCAGCAAAAAGAATGAGTACCTGTGGCACCTTAGAGATTAACAAATTTATTTGGGCATAAGCTTTCATGGGCTAAAACCCACTTCATTGGATGCATGCAGTGGAAAATACAGTAGAAAGATATATATACACAGAGAACATGAAAAAATGGGTGTTGCTATACCAAGTCTAATGAGACTAATCAATTCAGGTGGGCTGTTATCAGCAGGAGAGAAAAAAACACTTTTGTAGTGATAATCAGGATGGCCTATTTCCAACAGTTGACAAGAAGGTGTGAGTAACAGTAGGGGAAAAAATTAGCATGGGGAAATAGTTTTTACTTTGTGTAATGACCCATCCACTCCCAGTCTTTATTCAAGCCTAATTTAATGGTGTCCAGTCTGCAAATTAATTCCAATTCTGCAGTTTCTCATTGGAGTCTGTTTTTGAAGGTTTTTTGTTGGAGAATTGCGACTTTTAGGTCTGTAATTGAGTGACTGGGGAGGTTGAAGTGTTCTCCGACTGGCTTTTAAATGTTATCATTCTTGATGTCTGATTTGTGTCCATTTATTTTGCGTAGAGACTGTCCAGTTTGGCCAATGTACATGACAGAGGGGCATTGCTGGCCCATGATGGCATATATCACATTGGTAGATGTGCAGGTGAATGAGCCTCTGATGGTGTTTGATGTGATTAGGTCCTATGTTGGTGTCCCTTGAATAGATATGTGGACAGAGTTGGCAACAGGCTTTGTTGCAAGGATAGGTTCCTGGGTTAGTGTTTTTGTTGTGTGGTTGCTGGTGAGTATTTGCTTCAGGTTGGGGGGCTGTCTGTAAGCGAGGACTGGCCTGTCTCCCAAGATCTGTGAGAGTGAAGGATCGGCCTTCAGGATAGGTTGTAGATTCTTGATGATGCACTGGAGAGGTTTTAGTTGGGGGCTGAAGGTGACGGCTAGTGACGTTCTGTTACTTTCTTTGTTGGGCCTGTCCTGGAGTAGGTGACTTCTGGGTATTCTTCTGGCTTTGTCAACCTGTTTCTTCACTTCAGCAGGTGGGTATTGTAGTTTTAAGAATGCTTGATAGAGATCTTGTAGGTGTTTGTCTCTGTCTGAGGGGTTGGAGCAAACACAGTTGTATCTTGGAGCTTGGCTGTAGACAATGGATCGTGTGATGTGGTCTGGATGAAAGCTGGAGGCATGTAGATAAGTATAGCGGTCAGTAGTTTTCCGTTATAAGGTGGTGTTTATGTGACCATCGCTTATTGGCACTGTTGTGTCCAGGAAGTGGATCTCTTGTGTGGACTGGTCTAGGCTGAGGTTAATGGTGGGATAGAAATTGTTGAAATCATGGTGGAATTCCTCAAGGGCTTCTTTTCCATGGGTCCAGATGATGAAGATGTCATCAATGTAGCACAAGTAGAGTAGGGACGTAAGGGGACGAGAGATGAGGAAGCGTTGTTCTAAGTCAGCCATAAAAATGTTGGCATTCTGTGGGGCCATGCGGGTACCCATAGCAGTGCTGCTGACTTGAAGGTATACATTGTCCCCAAATGTGAAATAGTTGTGGGTGAGGACAAAGTCACAAACTTCAGCCACCAGGTTTGCCGTGACATTATCAGGGATACTGTTCCTGATGGCTTGTAGTCCATCTTTGTGTGGAATGTTGGTGTAGAGGGCTTCTACATCCACAGTGGCCAGGATGGCATTTGCTGGAAGATCACCAATGGATTGTAGCTTCCTCGGGAAGTCAGTGGTGTCTCGAAGATAGCTAGGAGTGCTGGTAGCGTAGGGCCTGAGGAGAGAGTCTACATAGCCAGACAATCCTGCTGTCAGGGTGCCAATACCTGAGATGATGGGGCGTCCAGGATTTCCAGGTTTATGGATCTTGGGTAGCAGATAAAATACCTCTGGGCAGGGTTCTAGAGGTGTGTCTGTGCAGATTTGTTCCTGTGCTTTTTCAGGGAGTTACTTGAGCAAATGGTGTAGTTTCTTTTGGTAACCCTCAGTGGGATCAGAGGGTAATGGCCTGTAGAATGTGGTGGTAGAGAGCTGCCTAGCAGCCTCTTGTTCATATTCCAACCTATTCATGATGACGACAGCACCTCCTTTGTCAGCCTTTTTGATTATGATGTTAGAGTTGTTGTGCAGAACACAACGCCATCCACAGCCTCAGGAACAACTCTGACATCATAATCAACAAGGCTGACAATTTACTCAAGCCCTTACTTCGTGATATAAATCATATAAGTTCAATTTATGACATTTAATTCCTTTTTATTAATATACTGAGATGGTGATATTACATTGACATGAGTTAGCATTTGTGGGCTTCATTTCTTCGGCTAGCCCCCCAAATACTAACCAAATTTATTAACAAACAAAAATCTTTCCAAGGACCTGATCCTGCAAGCAGATGCCCTGCAGAGGACTCCTGCACCTGTGCAGAGCCACAATGACTTTAATGCATCTGTACAGAGATAAAGGTGCAGTGTTGGGGTCGAAGTCTCCTCCTCCTCTGAGTCCCCCAGGTTGCAAATGATTATTTCCTGTAGCCTGATTCTGTCCCCATTGATTTCAAGGGGCTCAAAATTGGCAGTTGAGTTTATAAGTTTCTTTGGGGATCTTTGGTAAAATTTTCAAAAGTGCCTGAATCACTTAGGAGTAGGGGGTACATATATACAGAAATAAAAAAAAAAAAAAATCAGCTGGCCTGGGTCAGCTGACTTGGACTCTCAGACCTCAGGTTGCGGGGCTGAAAAATCACTGTGTAGACTTTAGGGCTCACGCTGGAGCCTGAGCTCTGGGACCCTGTGAGGGTGGATGGTCCCAGAGCTCAGGCTCAAGGACAAATGTCTACACAGCAACTTTTATCCCTGCAGCCTGAGCCCCATGCACCTGGCCTGGGTCAGCCATGGCCCTGCTGCAGGGCTTTTATCCCTGAGTGTGCCATACCCATAGGCACACAGGAGAGTCAACTGGACTTAAGGTCCAACATGCAGAAATTACTTTTGAAAATTTTCCCCTTAGTGACATAAGGGGAGATTGTCAAAGGAACAGAGGGTAGTTTAGTGCCTGACTGCCACTGACTTTGAAAATCTCCCGTGACTAGATGTTTTTGAAAATGAGACTTAAGCTTGTAAGTGAATTGAGCACGTCAGAAAAATTTAGCCCCTATTTCTATTCATGCAGCAATAAACTAGAAGTGGCCAAAGCAATGTGCTACCTGTGCTTTAGCCCCCTACACTAATATACTGTAAATAGCAAAGAAATAACATCTTCTGTGACAGATGCAACTATTCGAAACATGTTTATCAGAGGGCAGGTATTATTCTAAAATATTACCCTTGTATCTTGCATTCCATGGAGTCTTCAGTAACAAATTAACTCACTTCACCTGCTGGAATACCTGGGTGCAAGAGTTAGACTGCTAAGAAAAAAGCTACAGTTATGATGAGCCCTGTTCTACACCCATGCTGACGAGGAATGGCTGACATCTTAGACGCCTCAACAGTCAATTCACAACCAGTTGCCTCACAAATTACAAAAGATGGCTACAAAAAAATTCAGATAGGACTGTAAGGATGAAAAACAGGAAAATAAAAATACCTGCATTGATTTCAAGATAATGGTTTTTAATAATTGTCAAGCTTAAACCCCTTGCTAATTGTGACGTGCACTATGTCTGTTAGGATCCCTTTATATTAAATTTATGCCATTCTCAGTTTTTGGAGCATATCATTTTTCTTTGTTGAAATGGTAAATTTTCTTTCAAAATTACAATGTGTCACAACTCACTATTCGTATAACTTTCTGTTCCCGCAGCTAATGGAGAAAGAAGCTCTAGAAGATGATTTCTTGGATTGCACGCTGGAAGATCTTCTCCGATTTGATGATTACAACAATGATGGTTACTTAACCCTGCAAGAACTCTATACTGCATTCCGTAAGTCATGATGCTCTCTTCTCCCCCCCCCCCCCCGCTTTGCAATGACAAAATGTGGCTTACAGTCCAGGTGTTACATGAATATTTTGTCTCCAGAAATGTGTGTATGAAATAGTTGTTTTCATTTTGAACTTTCCATGGTGTATGTATATAGGAGGAGGAAGGGGGAGGGGGGGTCAGCATCTGCGGGGGGTTGTTTCCTTAAGGTAAGATGTGCTTATCAGGAAATAACTGAACTTTATGGATTTGATAAAGAGATACAGGCAATGGATTATTTTGTTGGCTTTGTTGATTGTTAATGGCATTGAAAAGATATTGTTGGATTATTGGAAGTGTAAGTAGAACATGTATGTCGTCTCTAGGAAGCCACAAGGTACTGTGCTTGTAGGGTTTACCACTGAATTTTCTCAAGAATTTTTTTCATGAAACCTGGCTACCACAGAGTGAGAATAGCTGTTATTTTAGGGGTGAGAAAAGTAAGGTTTTTTTCCCTGCATCTTCTGCTTGGATTCAAAACATTTTATTTCCATCTTTGACAATGAATTGCTGTGTGATCTTGGGACAAATCTCTGTACCTGTTTAACGATTTGCAACATGCATACTGGCTCTGATTCAGCAAGGTACTTAAGCTGTGTGCAACTTTAAGCTCTTGAGTTACCAATTATTTGCCTGGGGTTTGTAAGTTTTATGGATACTTCTTTGAGTAATTAACAATATCTATTATGAATCATGTGTTGGTACTTCAAAGCTCACTATTCTGATTTCTACCAAAAATAATACTTTTTGTGCTTATACAAAGCTTGTTTATCTGAGTATGTTAAAGGCTTTACAAACATTAATGAAGTCTCATGCCCTCCCTCTGAAGTGTAGATATTATGGGTCTGATTTTAGCAAGATACATCTGTATATGTGTAAGCGGGGGAATGGTCCCGCTATTGTGGGGAACTTTCCGGGCTTCTGCACTACCCCGGTGAAGTGGGCTAGCGAAAGGATCTGAGTCCTCGCTCCCACTCCCTTTACCCAGAGGCCTCCCTGCCCTTGAGGGCTCCCCTTCCACTCTCCTGTCTGGCAGAGTCCTCGTAACCCCAACAAGGCTGGGCCCAGGATTCCTGGGGGGCTCAACCCCCAACCTTGCTGTGGTCACCTAGGACAGGGGCTAGGGTGTCCCCACTCCGGGGTACTCTCTCTGTACTGGGCACCTCCCTGACCCACTGATTATTCCATACAATTTAAAACAAATGCAAGTTGTTTAATTAACAATTAATCTAAAGAAAAGAATAAGGAAAAATGGGAAAGGTTAAAGGAAAACACATCATCCCGCTTTGTGGCAGGGAACATCACAAACAGTGTCTCTGGACATCAGGGCACTTCACAGTCTGTTCCTTGTTAGTCCCAGATTTCCGTCTCAGGCCCTGGCTGTGCTGCAGGGATGCTGCGGATTGGACACTTGCAATGGTGGTGGCCACACACCTCCGGGCTTTGAGTGGTGGGACCCTTCTTCCCAGCATCAGCCCTCCGTAGGGTTAAGGTTCCCCTCCTGGTCTGGCCTGCAAGGGCCCTTGTCTGGGGGTGTCTTTCTGTGCTGGGCCCTTTGCCCAAGGTCCCCCCTTGGCTGGTCCCACTTGCTCACCACACCTGGCTCTGTGGCTGCAGCTCTGCTCCCAGCACAGGATCTGCTCTCCCTGGGCTGCGTCTCTGG